AAAACGGCGACTTTGGGCCCTGACGAGCAGGGACTTGGTCCTGACCAATTTCCGCGTCCAAGGAAAACTGCGACTTTTGAGCCTTGGCTAGCAGGGACTTTGGCGTCGCGCAGCTCCGTCGAGGTGGAAACCTTCGTGATGATTTCTCCTTTCCAAATGTCATTCCAATAATCCATTTGGCTCTCTGCAATTGCCTGAGACAGCGAGGACTTGATGCCGAACCGACCCTCTTCCTGATGGGCCCAGCCTTTGAGCTTCGTCAGGCGAAGAGCGGGGCAGGACCGTTTGCAAGCGAAGTCTGGGCCCACGTCTTGAACGTCTGTGTCCGTCGGCATGCCGCCTGAGCTTCCAGCTTGCTCGCTTGGGCCTCCAGCGTATCCGCGTAGGCCTGGATGATGACGTCGTAGATCTCACCGCCACTGGCGCACGCGTGATGAATAACAGTCCCCGCCCACCCAACAAGCGCCTGCCCTTCGGCTGTGTGATCATCCTGTGGGTGTCCAGGTCGAAGTATGCCAGCCGAGACTCGCCCGCTGCGCCTGCGCTGGCAGTCGAAGGTGCCCCAGCGCGAGGAGGTCCTTGATCGCGACCGCCACGCCGCGCAAGTAGCGCGGCCCCGCTCCTGCTGCTGGCTTGCCCGCATACGTAGGGCCTCCCACCGCGCGCCAGACGCATACAGGGCCTTTGCTCCGTCCTTGGTAAAGATCTGGTTCGTCCACTTGATAAAGGTGGCATAGGTCGAGCTCGATACCGTCCATCGCGGCAGCGTAGAGGGTGCCCATGCGCTCCCGGGCTTCAGCTGCGTCTTCTGGTCGACCCGCCGCGCGTCCTCCTGAACTCTCTCAGTATATCCCCGATCCTCTGGTGGTCCTTGAAGCGGATGGCAACCGACGCGACTGGGATGCGCCCGCGGAAATGCCTTTGGACTGCGCATCACCAACTGCATGTGTTGACGGGGATGAGCAGCCATATCAACTCGTACTGTATGATGTGGTCGAGGCGTCCATTTCTCCAGTACACGAGGCTGCTCGCAAGCCTTCGCGATGTCCGCGGAAACCATGAAGTAGTCTATCATACTGTAATTACCCTTGGCGCTCCTGCGTGTGCCCTCGCAGCCCTTGGGTACCATGATGTTGGCTCTCAGGATCTCCATGAGGCCTGTGTATTCCATATCCTTGGGCGGTGGGTTCGAATCTCCTCCGATGATGAAAGGTACCGCGTAGTGACGTAGAAACGCTGCCAAGCGCGTCAGCCTGCCGTAGTTGATGCGTAAGTAATCCGATGCGCCGACGGACTCGAGGTACACCGGGCCAATGATGATTCCGCCTGGCATGCCCGCGTGGACGTGGATGGCCATGGTCCATGCATGCGAAATATTGAAACTGGTCATGACTGGGCAGCCCGTTAGCATCGTGACCGAGATGTGCTCCCGCACGAAGATGCCGACGCCAGCCGACGGCAGGCGTGTCTGCAGACGCCTGCATTGTGATGTGTAGGGCTTCCAACCGTTGCGCACAGCCCACTTTTGTGCACGATCCAAAGCCTCGCCGTCCAGCTTGACCTCCTGCGCGCATGCAATCTGAGCGCCCCCCGCACCTTCAAGCAAAAACTTCTGCAGCGTACTCCAGCACGACCCATTCAAGGTGATGGTGCCCGTCCTGCGTTTGCGCGATCCCCGAGGAGCTCGCCTGCTACCCATAGTGTCCCCACGCTTGTGGAGAGTCCGTCTCCATCCCTGTTGGTGGTGATCCTGGGGCTGGTACCTCGACTGCCACTGCCTGCAGCGCGCCCTTGCCTCCCCCCTTCGCTGGCATGATGTCCGCTGGGACCGTGGCCGCAGGAGGTGCTGGGGCGCCAGGGAGTAAGGGAGCGAGTCCCTGGGTGTTGTTGTGACCAGCGACTCGAGAAGTTGTCCTCCAACTGCGTCTCGAGGCTGGCCTTGCTGCACTGACTGGTGGGCCGTGATGATCGATGCCTGGAGACTCTGGACGGCAGCGGCGAGCGCGTCGAGGTCCTGCTGAGGACCTGGTACTGCCTGCGCCATCGTTGCCTTGGCCTTGGCGACCTCTGCGTTGAGCGCCGCCGTGTCCGATCCCACCGTCTCGAGCTTTGCCTTGGCATCGCTGAGCTGCTTCTCCAAGTCCACCACCTGCTGCGCCAGCTTGTCACGCTCGGCTTCGTTGGAGACCAGCTTGTCCATGGAGCTGCGTAGCACAACCTCTGGGGCCATGCTGTCCCGCTCCTTCTGCTCTGCTCGTGCCACTTCCTCCATAGCGATGCGCATGATCTCGTGCGAGTCGTCGTACTGCAGGCGCCGCAAAGACTGTGCCGCCCTTCGGCACCGAACCGCCTCAGTGGCTGGAGTGGGGGGTGGGTCTTTGGGAGCTGCTTCGCGCCCATCACGATCCCGAACACCGCGAGAAGGAGGACGACTGGTGCTCCTCCTGCCGTCCTTGTCCCTGCCGCACTTGTAGCACTTCGTGCGGGTCGGAAAATGTTTCTTGAATCCGCATATCTTCGTGACCTTGCATGCCCATGCCGCACCTCCTGCTTCGGGCTGACTCCTCTGCCTCCACGGGTAGCCGCCCTCAGCGGCAAGGTTGGCCTGGGTGTTCGCCATGTGCTCACCGTGGTGCCGACACAGCAGCCGCTTCGCCGCGTCGAGGCGCAGCACGCGCCTGGCTGAGGCGCGTGCGCGGCGCTCTCGGCGATGCCAGGCTGGAGAGCGGCTGCGCTCCCGTGCAACGGAAATGGTGACCAGCGCCCGTCGCCTCGGGCAGCTGGCGCGGGGCCAGATGGAAATGCGCCGCCCTCGCCCCAGCGAGGGGCACGGAGCCCAAATGGCAGCCTGGAGGAGGAGGAGGAGGAGGATGAGGGGGAGGAGGAGGAAGAGGAGGAGAAAGAGGAGGAGGAGGAGGAGGAGGAGGAGGAGGAGGAGGAGGAGGAGGGGGCAGGAGGAGGAGGAGGAGGAGGAGGAAGGAGGAGGAGAAGGAGGTCGAGGACGACGACGACGATGAAGGGTGCAGGATGGAGGGTGGAGGATGACGGATGTTCTGTGGGAGGGCTCCTGTGCGCCGCCGACCTTCTCCACGTCTCCTCCTCCTCCTCCTCCTCCTCCTCCTCCTCCTCTCCTCCTCCTCCTCCTCCTCCTCCTCCTCTTCCTCCTCCTCCATCACCCGGGTGACTCCAACCTAAGACCCATGGAGGCCCAACCGGAAAGAAAAAAAAAATGGGGCGCGCCGAAGAACCCAGGGGGTCCGGTTTCCGCGGAGGAAAGAAAAAAACCCTGGCGATGGGGTTCGAGCACGGGGGTTACCCCCCCCTCAAATTCCGGAAGAGGAATGAACTCCCAGCCGCGGGGGTGCCCGCGCGAGGGGCCCCACCCCCCCAAGCGCAACCAGAGGAAGAAAAGCGTGAGAGCCGAGACTGTAAGTGCAATGCAACAACACCTTAATCGCGGTTGCACTAGGGATTTGTATTAGTACGGGAACAACTGAATTACAGCCGGTGAGGTTTGGGTTCGGGTTCGGGCTTATATATTGGGAACCCAGTATATTGGAAACGCAATATATTGGAAACTCAATATATTGGAAACCCAATATATTCGAATCCCAATATATTCGAAACCCAATATATTAGAAACCCGATATATTGGAAACCTAAAATATTGGGAACCCAATATATTAGGAACCCAATACATTGGAAACCTAATATATTGGAAACCTAATACATTGGAAACCCAATATATTTGAAACCCATTATATTGGAAACCCAGTATATTGGAAACCCAATATATTGGAAACCCAGTATATTGGAAACCCAATATATTGGAAACCCAACATATTGGAAACCCAATATCTTGGAAACCCAATATATTGTAAACCGAATATATTGGAAACTCAAGAAATTAGAAACCCAATATATAGGAAACCGACACAGCTGAAACTCAGTATATTGGAAACCCACTATATCGGGAACTTAATATTGGAAACCCAATATATTGAAACCCAATATACTCAGGATTCTTCCAAAAAATGAACGCTAAAAAAAAAAAAAAACAAAGCTTTGTTGTTGTAATGGTTTTTAAACTGTACTAAGGAATTGTAGTAGCACTAGGGAAGTGCACTACAGACTTGCACTAGAAATTGTACTATTACTCGGGAATTGCACCAAGGAGTTGCATCAAGGACTTGTACGAGGGAGTTGTACTAGCACTCGGAACTTGGATCAGAGAGTTGTTATAGTACCACTTAAACCGGGGAATTGTACGGGGGAGTTGTGCTCGGGAGTTGTACCATGGAGTTGTACTAGTACTGGGGATTGGCGATAGGGCGTTGTTCTAGGGGGCACAATTTTACCTGCTGTAATATGATACCAGCTGCACTCGAATATTTGCACGGCAGGACAACGTGCTCTCTAGGAACAACTGCGCGATAGGACATGATAGTACCAGTTGTACTCAAGTACGAGTTGTACGGTAGTCGGAGGGGTTCAGGGGTTCCAACGGCAACGCGCGCGGGGAAGAAGGAAAGAAATCCATGCGCCGCCAGGGGTCCCAGGTTTAACGGGTCGCCGCGAAGGTTGACCCCCCGCGGAAAGAAGAAAAGAAATCCGGTCGGGGGGTTGGGGGGTTGAGGGATGAGTCACGGGGGCGATCCTCCTCCTCCTCTTCCTCCTCCTCCTCCTCCTCTTCCTCCTCCTTCTCCTCTTCTTCCTCCTCCTCCTCCTCCTCTTCTTCTTCTTCTTCTGCTTCTTCTTCTTATTCTTCTTATTCTTCTTCCTCCTCCTCCTACTCCTCCTCCTCTCTCCTCCCTCCTCCTCCTCCTCCTCCTCTCTCCTCCTCCTCCTCCTCCTCCTCCTCCTCCTCCTCCTCCTCTCACTCCTCTTCTTCTTCTTCCTCCTCCTCCTCCTCCTCCTCCTCCTCCTCCTCTCACTCTTCCGCCCTCCAGCTCCCTACTTCCAACAGCGTGGGCGATTCCGCGAGCGCCGCCGCAGCCGACCTCTTCCACTTCTCTCGCCTGCGGCAGAGCCTGCCGCAGCACGCCGGCCGCTGGGGCGCGCTGCCGGACGGCGGGCTCGCCATGGTCGCCGCGCTGCGGCGGCAGGCTCGCGCCGCCTCGAGCGCCCTCGGCCCCGGCTTGCCAGAGAGCTGGCCCGTGTCAGAGGAGGAGAAGGGGGAGGAGAAGGAGGAGGAGGAGGAGAAGGAGGAGAAGGAGGAGGCGGAGGAGAAAAATGAGGAGGAGGGGGAAGAGGAGGAGGAGGCGGCGGAGGAGGAGGAGGAGGATGAGGAGGAGGAGGGGGTGGAGGAGGAGGAGGAGGAGGAGGAGGAGGAGGCGGAGGAGAAAAATAAGGGGGAGGAGGGGGAAAGGAGGATGAAGAGGAGGACGCGGCTGCATTCACATGGGACATCCCCTGGGGGGGGGGGGGGCGGGCTTCATCCAAAAGGAGGCCGCAGTAAGTCAGCAAACACAACAAAAAAACACAGCAAACACTCATCCAACAAAAATCCAGCCAAGCAACTCACACCATCTCCAATCCAAAAGCTCATCCAATGATTTAACATCTTGTTCTGTTTCGCAGAAGGCATCTGTACACCACCACCGTGCCAAGGCAGGACCATCCTGGGCCCCAGGATGGTGTATACGCCCTCCTGGCCGAGGCCAAGAGGGTCTATACACCATCCTGGGGCCCAGGATGGCCCTGGCCTGGCACGGTGGTGGTGTATAGATGCCTTCGTCGGATTTGCAGAGAAGAATTCGAAAGTTGCTGCCTTTCCTCTTCCGGCGACGCTCCCGGGCGGTCCGCGGGCACGGGCCCGCGCGCGTCTCCACCAAGACGTCGGACGTCCGGAGAGGAAGCCCTCGCATCCCTCCACCGCGGCCACCGCCCCCCGGGGGGGAGGGCAGGGAGAGCCAGGCAGACAGGCGCTGGCCATCGCTCGGACGTCCATTCCCTGTGTTTTTGTTCGGTTTCTTGCGTGGCTCTTTCGCCACATGATCAAGGATGCTCCTCGATCGGCCCTCGCCGAGGGATAGATGCACACGTCCGAGCGATGCCAGCATCCCTCCACCGCGGCCACCGCCCCGGGGGGGAGGGCAAGGAGAGCCAGGCAGACATTCAGTCGGGCACGTTGTGGGCAGGAGAGTGGGCAAGCTTCCGTCGGGCACGCTGTTCTACAGGAGGAAGATTCATAGAACATGAGGGCACCGGAGAAATTATTCACTGCGTGGGGATCCCCATATGTGCATCTCCTTGCTGGCGCTCCCTTGGTGGTGGGACTCGGTGAGGACGAATCTGGATTTAAGTGTGACTGAGCTGCCTCTCTCTCTGCTCTCTCTGCTCTCTCTGTCTCTCTCTCTCTCTCTGCCCTCTCTCTGTCTCTGCCTCTCTTTCCCTGACTCTCTCTCTCTCTCTGCCTCTCTCTCTGCCTCTCTCTCTCTGCCTCTCTCTCTCTGCCTCTCTCTCTGTGCCTCTCTCTCTCTGCCTCTATCTCTGCCTCTCTCTCTCTCTCTCTCTCTCTCTCCTCTCTCTCTCTTCTCTCTATTCTCTCTCTGCTCTCTCCTCTCTCTCTCACTCTCCCTCTCTCTCTCTCTCTCTCGCTCTCTCTCTCTCTTCTCTTCTCTTCTCTTCTCTCTCTCTCTATCTCTCTCTCTCTCTCTCTCTCTCTTTCTCTCTCTATCTCTCTCCCTCTCTCTCTTCCCTCGCTCTCTCTCTCTCTCTTCTCTCTCTCTCTCTCTTTCGCTCTCTCGCTCTCTCTTGCTCTCTCTCGCTCTCTGTCGCTCTCTCTCGCTCTCTCTCTCTCTCTCTCGCTCTCACTCGCTCTCTCTCGCTCTCTCTCGCTCTCCCTCGCTCTCTCCCGCTCTCTCTAGTCTCGGCTCGAGAGTGCCCAGCACTCAGACCGCAGCCGCGACGCGAAGCGCCCCGCCTCGGAGCCAGACTCCCAGGCCTCGCGAGACCGGAGGGGTCCCACCAGGACCCTACTGATTCGCGTCACCTCTCCTCAGTGCGACCGCCGCCATGGCCCCCCTGTCTGTGCCAGGCCGCCACCGCACCTTCACGTTTCACCATGCTGTACTACCTGAGCTACCTGGCCATGTTACTGTGCACAGGCACCAGGACCTTGTCTTCCGCGTGCCCGTCCTGCACGGGCGCGACCTCCCAGTGCCACCTGGACACGCCCCACACGTGCCGCGTGCGGATCTTCACGAAGATCTACGTATACTTGGGCATGACGTGTTCCACCTGCGCGCCGAGCTGCGCGCCTACCGAGCCGACCTCCGCGCTCACCTACCAGGCACCGACGCCAACGCAGACGACTCCGTCCAGCACCTGCACACCTCGGCACGGCCAGGTATCCAGGGGGGGGTCGGGCCCCCGACTGCTGAGGGTGACGGTGCTGAGTGCGGTCGGGCTGTTCCCACGCCTGCCGTCGTCGCGCCGTGCGTGACAAGCAGTCGGCCCCCAACCTCCCCCCGAGAGCGCCCCCGCGGCAACGTAGGCACCGCTCTCATCTTCATCGGCATTATCTTGCTGAACTTTGGGTACGGCCGTGGCTCCACCTTCAGCATCGTTCTCGGCACCGTCGGTCCGCAGACAGCATTGACGCCAGCTCTGACGACGGCGCTGCAGTCAGCATCGACGCCAGCGAGTGGCACGAACTCGGCACCACCCTCGCCCCCTCCCTCACCCCGCCCCGCAGGAGGAGGAGGAGACGATGACGACCACGACGACCTTGACGACTCATTACCGGCGCCGGCGCCGAGGTCAGCACCGACGCTCCCACCGACGGCAGTCGCCGATCTATCGATGATGCATGCATATACGACCACAGGTTCGCTGACCCCGACGGCAGCATTGACGGCGGCGAGGACGGCTCCGACGGCAGCACCGCTAGCATCACAGACTCCGACGGCGGCATCGATAGCACCGCCGGCTCCGATGGTAGCATCGACGGCAGCGACGCCACCACTGCCAGCGGCGGCTACGACGTCAGCATCGACGGCAGCGACGCCAGTACTGCCAGCGACATCTCCGACGGCCGCAAGGGACGTCAGTACCACAATCAGCCACTCCCGCGCTACCTGTATGGCCACTCGCTCGGCGGCGCCTTCAGGCCCGCCGAAGCCAGGTGACCTACAGACCTCTCCTCGGCATCATCGTCTCTCAGAGTTGCAGCCAGCTTCGACGCCAGCTCCGACGTCCGTATCGAGGCCAGCACCGACGCCAGCCCCTACGACAGCACCGCCAGCGTCAACACCCATGCCTGCGCCTACGCCGGTACCTACGCCAGGGTTGCAGGCCGCATCGACGCCAGCTCCGGCGTCTCCATCGAATCCAGCACCGATGACAGCTCCTATGCCAGCACCGCCAGCGGCACCAACCACTAATTTTCCCACCCCGCCGACGACCCTGGGTGTCCCTAGGCTTGCACCGCCGACCACCGCATCCATTGAGGCGCCCACGTCCACACCAACGACAGCACCGACGGCCGCATCGAGGCCAGCCTCGATGAGTCCTCAGCCAGTCACTGCTCTGACGCCTCGTCCAAGGCCGCGGGCGGGAGTGCAGCCTTCAGGCGCACTCTCCGCTAGCGGGGCCGCCATGTCATGTCATGCCACGTCCGCCTCGTCGCCCGTATCGTCTGTGTCACTATCTGCGCCGACGACTACATCGACGCCACCACGGACGGCAGCTGGGACGTCCGCATCGGCAGCGACAGCTTTCGGGCGACCGCCTTCGACGTCAGCAGTGGCAGACTCGCCGGCGGCGGCACCAACGTTGCCACCCACGGTGGCATCTACGGCAGCTCCCCAAACGGCCTCCACAGCGGTATCCACGGTAGCACTCATGACTGCATCCACGGTAGCATACACGGCCATGGCTCCCGCGCCCACGTCCGCACCGACGCCAGCATTGACGACAGGATCGGCCTCAGTATCGTCGGCACCGACAGCGGCATTGACGACGAGATCGACACCATCAGGCACACCCACGGCTATTGGGGCCGCCATACCACGCCGTATCTTGTCCACCACGTCGACACCTACGCCTGCGCCACGGCCCGCATCGACCCCAACAGCGACGTCTGCACCGACGACCGCATCGACGCCAGCCTCGACGAGCCCTCAACCATTCACTGTCCTGACGCCCCATTTAGGGCCGCTGGCGCGGGTGCCGTTAGGCGCACCCTACGCTAGTGGGACCGCCATGTCATGTCAGGACACGCCTGCCTCGTCGATTTTTTCGTCTGCGGCACTGTCTGCATCGACGACAACATTGACGACTACGCCGGTACCCACACCAGAGTTGCAGCCAGCATTTACGCCAACTCCGCCGTCTGCATCGACGCTCGCATCCATGGCAGCATCGCCCATAGCTTTGACACCAGCACTGCCAGCGGCAGCTCCCACGCCCACGCCTACGCGGGCACAAACGTTGACACCAGCACCAACACCGGCACCGAGCGCAGCCGAGACGTCATCGCCGACGACTACTCTCACGCCAACCCTGCCAGATCCAGCACGCCCTGAGTCGTCCGCGGCGGCGCCAAAGGAGGCACCCGCGTCGGCCTACACGGCAGCGTTCGTGGAGCGTGTGTGGTTGGAGGTCATCGAGTGGTACAACGTGGTGTCACCGTCCACGTGGGCCACCGTGTGCGCCACGTACGCCATGTACTACTTCTTCATCGGCTTCCGCGACGAGTGGCGGCGACGGAGCGCAGCTACAGCGCGGCGCCGACGCCGACAGTGCGGCGGCGACGTCGACCGCAGACGCCCTCTAGGCCACCAGACGGCCGCCCAGGGCCGCCCTGGCACCAGCCCCCACACTGCCTCGAGCCTCGAGCCGACCTCCCTACCAAAACCTGGGAGCACGCCAGCGGGGGCGGCTC